CCTCCCGAAGCGGCGAGGGATCTCCTACAGCGCATCCCTCCTCCGTCCTGGGTTTTGGCACCGATGTAACAAACTTCAAAGATGGCCAAGGAGGAGGCGGGAGCCAAGTGAACTCCAGTAAAGTTTAATAACAAACAAAACTCAGACATAACAGAAACAAACATAGCACCAACATAATATACGTGCGCATCTCTTTCTCCCCCTTGGCGTCTCCAGCCGATCCTCTCTCCCACTCAGTGCCAGGTGTGTGACCTTACAGCTTGGCACCTCACTCCTCCCAAAACATAAACAAACTAGTAGCCTATGTAACCACCCTCACCAGGTGTTACATGACCCTTTTTACGTCTAGGGATATTGAAGCAGTAACATGAGGGAGAGAGGTGACACTTGATGGGAAAGGAGGGACACAGAAAAAACCCATTTAGCCAAAAAAACAGCTTATTTTACTGTGCACTGTCACAGGTAGATATTACAATATGTATCCAGGGGTTCAATACAAAGGTAGTGGGGGAAAAGAAATCTATGTACAAGTAAAGATGTGTAAAGACTATACAAAAAAAAAACCATAACTGACACCAAAAATAGCCAGACATATATATACAATACCCAACAGGTGGACTCACAGACGGTTCCAAATAAAAGAACAAAAAATAAACTAACTCCGAACATGCCTAGCCAAAGCAAACTAGAACAAAAGTACAGGGGGTAGCACAGGCCTCTAACCTAGTGTCTCTAGGCAGAGTAGTATTCCTAATGTGTTATGTAAAGGCACAGCCAGAACTACCTGTCCACACAATGCACTGGAGGGGAAAACAAAATGGACTAGCGAATAACACTTAATACTTTCGCTACTAACAAAGCAAGGCTACAAAGTGAACAATGACTCCCAAAATCTGCCCTCCATGTCTTCCTCGATGGTGCCTTTATACCCAGAGCTCCATTTCCTTTGGGGAAATCACAACGCCAACTGGTGGATTACCACGCATCAGCGGTCCAATCACTGACCAAGATGCCACCTATGAGCAAATCAGAGAGTGGAGAGAAAAAACAAAGGGGAATAAAAAAGAAACAATGCATGCCTTGTAGGCATGTAACAGCAGGCAGTAACTAAGGATGCCATTGCATTGCATGTTAATGAATAAGGTCTTTGCTTGTCCCGCAAGCTTCATATCTGACCAGGTACTCATGTCTGTACTAAAGTAAAAACCTCCCGATCCCAGTTCTGATGCACACCTCTAGTCTCATCCAGATCTCCTGTGAAAACTTTCTAATGCAATACAAGCCTAAAAGAATAATAAATAAATAACCCTAAATTAAATAGTACATCTCCTATTCATTTCTGTATTTGTATCTGTTTAGAAAACATTACCTGTTCATTCCAAATAATGTATTCATATTTAGTTATATCAACTACAACAAATGCATTATTATTATTATTATTATTATTATTATTATTATTATTAATTTAAAAAAATACTTATTTATTTTGCAACATTTAAGGTTGTATATAAATCCTCTGTTCTGAAGACTTTACTGAAGCAAAAAAATGTTGTAGGTTTTACCTCTGACTGCTGCAAAGTTCTGACACTGGAGACTCCTTACAAAAATGTTAAATAAACATCTCTTCACAGAAAGCTTCACCATATCACTGATTAACACATAGTCCTGTTTAAATCCCTTGTGTTTCTATGTTGTTACTTTAAAATCAATAGCATATTAGAATGAGTGGATTAATATAGTGCTGTGATTGTCCTGCAGCTGGAACTATCATCAGAGCTGCTGTTATAGAAAATTAATTGACCAGCAACACAGTGGCATAATAAAACAATAAAACTTAAAATAGGGAAAGTTCTGTTTATGATTAACTTGGTAGGTGTGTGATGCTATGGAGTCATAAGTCTTCTGTTAGGTCACATAGACAAACTCCAGAGTTACCGCTCACCAGCCCAATGTGTGTGTTTGTTCTTTATAACAATATTTATGTATGGTGTCAGACTGACAAGCAAAGGGCTTATGGGTAGGCAGGAAAGGCTTTAGGCTTTTAAGTAGGAATGTTAGAAGAAATGCAGGCAAGAAAAAGCAATGAAGCAACAGCAGGTAGGCAAACAAAGCAATTGAGAAAAAGGACAGAGGATATAAAGAGGAGAGTTCAGAATGATTTAACCATGAGATGAAAAAACAGATTGGCCAAAAGAAATGATTAAAAGAAACAGTAGCATTGACTCCTCACAGATGCCTTACTGTGTATGTGTTCTGTAGTTTCCTCCCACCTTCCACAAAAAAAAAAAAAACATCAGCAGCAGGTAGATTGACTATACTAAATTGCCTGTCTCCAGATCCACTGCAAAAACAACAGGAAGGAAGCATGGACACCCACTGAGAAATAAGAGAACATGGAAAGAAGGAAGGAAGTCCACTGAGAAATAAGAACACAAGAAAGAAAGAAAGAAAGAAAGAAAGAAAGAAAGAAAGAAAGAAAGAAAGAAGTCCACTGGGAAATAAGAGCACTTGGAAGGAAGGATGGAGGGAAGGAAGGAAAGAGGGAAGAAAGTCCACTAAGAAATAAGAGCATATGGAAGGAAAAAATGGAAGAAGGAAAGAAGGACAGGAAGAAAAGGAAGGAAAAGAAGAAAAGGTAAAGAAGGAAGGAAGTCCACTAATATATATGAACACAATTAAGCATAAAGTGGAAACAGAAATTATAATAGTCCATAATTCCAATAGAAATTATAAATATTGAGAGGAACACTCACATTGATTTGGATGGAGTCTCACTCTCTCTCTCTCACACACACACACACACATACACACACACACACACACACACACACACATACACACAGTAGAGAGGATATCACTTGGCTGAGATTAATCATAGTTACGTTCCTTCATCTGAAGTCCCATGTTTGACAGGTTTCTGTACATCTTTCCTCCTCTGCTCAGTCTGTCCTGTTCCTCTCCTTGTGTTCTGTAGAAACGCTTCCTGCCATGCTTCTGTGATGAACGACTGGGGCTCTGAGTAGATGAAGGCCTTGAGTGTTACTGCTTCTTTTCTGTCCTGGATACACACATCCATGGTGAGGGCATCAACTCTCAATGACAGAGCAGATGACCTTACACACACACACGCCCTGTTTTTATGATCTGCTTCAACAGCTCTACTTGTGATAGCAGAGAATAGTTTGTAGAAACCACAGGAATGGTCTGCTTGTTGTTTCATTTGTTTCTGCTAGGAGAGAGTGTACCAGTCCATAACCTGACAGAAGAGAACAAGTTCAGTGGCCTAGAACCATGTGTGACAGTTAAAAATTCTGAGAGAAAACACAGTTTGCATGTTGAAGCCTCTGAAATACCATCTGTTAGAACAACACAACATACCAAAGCTTTCAGACTCACAGTTCAAGATGTAAAAGTTTCTTTCCCTATGATTTCAGGCTAACAGCTAACAAATAATGTAATTAGAAGAATTCCAGAAAGTCAGACGTTGCAGAAATATCATTCCTGTGATGTTTGTGCTGTAACATCTGCTGTAATGAGAGTTTACTACACAATGCAATTAGAGATTTCCTCACACACATTCACAGTTAGACAGAAAACAACATTATGAAAATGACAGTGGACACTATTTTAAAATGGCCGCCACATATGCATGTATTTTCCCATTACATGCTTTTTTTCCATATATAATGCATTTTAGTTTAAATATTGTCACACAGTTAATAAAAAGGAGTCTGAAGAGCAGAGTTACTAATTTGAACCCAAAAGATATCTGTTGCTGAGACATATATCCCCGAGTGTCCTCAGCAGTATCAGTGCAGAGGCACAGTTACCGTCACAGTGAGCTGTGTAATCCTTATCAGCCGGGTAATTGGTTATGTTTGACATGGGATTGGAAGCTATCCCGTTCCCCACATTTGATGGGATTAGTGTTGTAGCCTGGGGTGTATTTGCAAATATATTTTCCCTTTTTTCTTTTTTTTTATCTCATTCTCACTTGCTTTTCTTTCCAACTCCCCCATGATGTCTTTACATGGAAGAAGTGTTGCTCATTTAGCTGATGATGATAAGTGTGTAATTAAGTATGACTGCATCAAGCAGATTTGAATCACAGATGAAACCGAGATGTAGGTCGGGAAAAGCATCAGCAGATCATCACGCATTGACCTTGAGCCCCCCCACCCTCGTTCATGTCTTTTCATATTACTGTATCACAGATGTGTGGGGAAGCAATGTCAAAATCCTAATCACAACAGATTTGATGTTTATTACAGCCTGGATGAGCCAGGCATTTTGCTTGGAAGGACCAAATTCAGGTAGGCATCATCGCTGAAAATTATTGTTCTCTTCTGTTATTTTTAATAGAGGTGAATTTTTTTAGCAGACAAGAAATGATTATATTTGCAGTCATTTTAAAATGTGATCCAGATGTTCCACATAAATGGATTAAAAAATGTAATTGGTGATATGGTGTAGTTTTCTTTAAGGAGCGTTAACATTTATAGGTAACATTTTTACAATACTCTTCAACTCATAGATAACTACACAGGAACTAAGCAGGAATGAATGAGTACTTCTTCATTACCACTTCTTATTCCTACTACTAAAACTGTTAGTTGATTACTCAATAAGTCTCTTAGTAGGTATGCAGTAACTACTGAGTCTTAAGCAGTAATAACTGAGTCTTATATTTCTCCTGCAGAACTACTAGCTAACTATGACTCTTTTATAATAACTATGTTGTAAAGTGAACTACATGGAATCTCATTACTAATGAATGAAGTGTTACTGTGTTATTCTTCAGTAGTTAATGATGATCTGGAACAGTATTTAAAGTAAAACGCATTGAAACTCATTACTAATGACTGATGTGTTACTGTGTTTTTCTTCAGTAGTTAATAGTGATGTGGAACAGTACTATTCATGGAAATTCATTGCAAAGTTTTATTTAAAAAAAAATGTGTTCAGTTATTAAGCAGTTGTAAAAGAGCCATAGTTATGGGTCCCTGGAGGATTAGTGGTTAGGCCATGGCACTCTCACTGCCAAGGCCCAGGCTCAATTCCTGGCCAGGGAAACATCCCCAGCCACTGGGGTTGCACATGACAGTGCGCTCCCAGTGCAGGTCCCAAGCCTGGATTGTGTCAGGAAGGGCATCCGACATAAAAACTGTGCCAAATCAAATAGGCGGACCAATGATCTGCTGTTGTGACCCCTAACGGGAGCACCTGAAAAAAGAAGAACAAAAAAAGAGCCATAGTTATCTAGTAGTTCTTCAGGAGAAATGTAAGGCTCAGTAATCACTGCATAGTTAATAATGAACTCCTACTAACATGCTTACTGAGTAATTAACTAGTAGTTCTTAGTAGTTAATAGGAATAAGTGTTGAACTACTCTTTTGTTTCTACTTAGTTCCTGCATAGTTCCTGCATAATATGAGTTGAACAGTATTGAAAAGTGTTACCCATTTATGGAAGGAGTCTCTACTGTGAGTGATTTGTAATAGTCAGAGATAAAGCTGTAGCTATACATTTTCCAACATGGTTTTCCCAACATGAGTTTGCACTTTCTGGTTTCTCTGTAATATGACAAGCTACATTTTTGTCTTATTAACATCAAGAGGATGAAAAGAGAGGCTGGTGAATGTAGAACATAAGTGGTATCAAGAAATAACTTGTTTTTTATGGATGTTCTACAACATGTATCTATGAATGGATAAAAAGTATGATGTATCATTCTTTAATAAATAAGAAATTATTAGCACTGGCAAATTGCTGTGGTATAAAAGCGAATAAAACACTTTGGTATGTGTGGTTCTAGGAATATAGTCAATATAGTCATGTTTCATTCCTTACATTATATCGCATAGTTAAAAAATCCATTGCTATAAAATACAAATGGCATAAATTGATGGGAAATCAGTTGAATTTAATGAACAGAACAAAAAATGTGTCCAAATCTGTCCATGCCCTGACACTCTTCGACCACCACTTATTTCCTGTCCACTCTTCTCTCCATGCCACCTTTTTAAATGCCAACGATTGGCATGGCTTCCTCCCTCCCTTCCAGACCCGTACCGAAATGTCGCAATAAAGTAGCCCACTGCCAAGGCTAACACAAGGCGACTGGGTCCCGATTTGTTGTTCCATTCATGCCAAGGCTTTCAGCCTTGATCTGTCATGAGGTTTTACCGGCGACTAAAGTTTTTTTTTTTTTTTTTTTTTTTTTTTTATGAGACTCCGTTTACAGCAAAAGCCCAGGGACACACTTCATTGGGATCCAGATTGCTTTCCTCTCCCTGCACTGGTGTAGTTGCCTGAAACTCAGTCAACCCTTCTTGGGTACAAATGTGATGAGGTTGAACGGAATGGCCCGTTTCTCAAGTCGCACAGGCCACAGAATTTGGTCTTTTAAGGAGCAAGTTATCTCCCAGGAGGGAGAAAAAGCTTTTTCATGCCTGACTGACAAAAGTCATCAGTTGGAAGGGTGTGAAAGGGGTTGATTGACTTCCTGGCATCAATTACCCTCGTAGATAAGTCTAACTCCTCTATCCAAGTGCTAGTGCTATAAAATTCATGGTTGTCAAGGAAACGGGCCAAGATCACCGAGCAGGTGCTGTCGTAAGTGTCATTGTGGATGTAGTGGCCAGGCTGTAATGAAAGCTCATGATGCAGAGCGAGGTGTGGAATGCACAATGCATTTGGGATGCACGACACCATCTGAATGAATACTAATGCCCTCAGTGTATTGCTGTTTACAGAGCATTCAGGGCCAATAAATCATAACTAATCAGGACAAATCATGCCAAAATAAACTGTAATCCTTATATCGTAGGTGAAGTTGTGTCTCCGTATATTGTGCCACTCTAAATAAAAGTGTCTGGAACATGCAGATTTAATGAAAATGCCATGCTGTTAAAGTAGCTTATATAACTCTCAGAAAAAAAAAGGCTTTGTTAGTCTGTCCCTCTGTGGGCACCCTTAAAGGTTCTGTTTCTAGAAAACCCCTAGGAAGCAATAAGAATCCTTAAAAAGCAAGCCAAATTCTTCTTTTCCTGTTGTCTTTCTCTCCTTTGATAAAACTCCTTTTGCGTCACTTGACACTAGACAAACTGACATAATCACTAGTGGGTCAAATATAGAAAAAAAGTTCTTTATGCTTATATTAGTCATTTTCTTAAGTACTCCACAGAAAAAGATATATACCTGTAGACTGACCTTGAATTCATAAAACTCATTGTGTTTTGCAGCCTCAACAAACCACCAGCAAGTCTTAGGCTGTTAGATGTGCTGTCTGGCTTGCATATTTTAAATGAGAGGCATTCAAGTGCTGTAATTGCAGGACAATTAATGTCCATTTGTGTAGCAGCTTTGCAGAATGTTATGTATAAAGACACACATCAACCTACCTTTGTAGTTATCAATATCACGGTAAAAATGATATGAAATGAAATATTGGTTCTCAGTGCACTGCCATGTATTCAGAGTCAACAACGTACCATTAAACGTTGTATCAATATTTACATGGGGAATGTTCCTCGTAGTCGGTTTATGCAGATACTTCAGTTGATTGTCTGAGCTCGCCATTCAGATTATTAAAATCACCTGTGTGTAGTTCATGCCTCTGGGGTTATAAGATTTCTCTTAAGTAGAAGCTTCAGAGATTGGGTTGTTAAGCAATCTAGACCAGCACCTTTAAAGACAAACACTTCCTTTAAAAGACATTCCTTTTTTTTTTTTTTTAATAGTGAATAGTGAATAGTGAAGTGACTTTTTTTTAGTTTAGAGCCCAAAACATACATTTCAACATGACATACTGTTTTGTGGTTACAGAAAAATGTCAGAATGACACTGCTCCTGGTTTGACCCGATATTGTGCAATGTCAGACATCCTTTCACTATTCATGCCTGAATAGTGCTTGCATGACTAACTGAATATGCTGAATAGTAAGTCTATAGTTACACGATATGTAAGTATGTGGACACCTAACTATCACATCCACATGTGCCTGTTGAACATCCCATTCCAGATTTGGTTCCCCTTTGCTGTTATAATAAGCTCCACTCTTCTGGGAAAGCTTTCCACTAGATTTTGGAGTGTGGCTGTGGGGATTTGTGCTCATTCAGCTTTAGAGCATTAGTGAGATCAGGTACTGATGTGGGTGAGGAGGTCTGGGGTGCAGTCGGTGTTCCAGTTCATCCCAAAGGTGTTCAGTGGGGTTGAGGTCAGGGCTCTGTGTAGGTCACTCGAGTTCTTCCACTCCAACCTTCACACACCATGTCTTCATGGAGCTCGCTTTCTGCATGGGGCATTGTCATGCTGGAACAGGTTTGCGCCTCTTAGTTCCAGTGAAGGGAAATTGTAATGCTACAGCATACAGAGACATTCTATACAATTGTGTGCTTCCAACTTTGTGGCAACAGTTTGGAGAAATCTCACATATGGGTGTGAAGGTCAGGTGTCCACATACTTTTGGCCCTATAGCGTATGTCTGAAAAGTTGAGGACTAGATACCAACATGTGCAAATTCTGCATTAAAGCCTCACCATGTGCAAGTAACTCAACTCTAAATACATCCCTTATAGCCAACAGGTAAATCCTCCATCACTGCCTACACCCTGAAGCAGTATATTTACAAGACATGATTGTTGCTGAATTCTCATTAGCTAGTGTTATATATACAAGTGTGTTTGTGTCACATAGAAAAGCACATTGATGTCTTTTGAGAGCATGTCAAAATGACATCATGATTCTTAAATAATGCCCAAGGTCAACTCACAAAAGTTTTTGGGAAATACACTGCCCTCCAAAAGTTTGGAAACGCCTGAACAAAATAGGGTTTTTGGGCAATATCAGCATAAATCCTCTTTAGTTAGTGACCATTTTGCATTGATAATAAGGGACAACACTAGGCATCCGAGCAGTCAGTTTATTCAAACATTGACTTGATATATTACTCCAAGCTTCCTGGAGGATTGCCCAAAGATGATTCA